ATGCCGGAGTAGGAAATGAAAACATCTGCTGACTGATTGCCCCCTGGTCGCAGTTTTGCAGCCACAAAAACGCCAGGAAAGGAGGTTCATCCGCCGCATGTCGAAGATTCAATGCACTCCCCAAGTGATCACCTTGGGAAATATTGGGTTAAGTAAATGAAATGGCACAGGATTAGCCTATTTCGGGGGTGTAACTGCATGTGTAAAATAAGTTATGGGATTAACGCAAGACAATTAAATTGAGTACTAGTATAAATATTTAATTTATGTATGTATTTAAATATTTTCTGCTTAAAAGTGAAGTAATCACAATTCTTTGAATTTCTAAATAAATAATAATAATTATTTTCTACACTTTCCATAAAATGTTTTTAATACAACACTATAGAATAATCCAAATTTTTATCCCTGTGATAAAAAAATGTCATAAAGCAAGATTATTAAAATCGATGAAACTAATTTCAAATATTTTGCTTTATGACATTTTTCTTTGTTTTACGACATCCATTAATTAAATTTTTAGCGTAATAATTTGTTTAAGTAAGATCATAACCAAATGGTTTTTATTAAAGATAAAAAAGCTGTTTTAAAACTTAATTCCCCAGTTAATTAGGCCACTAAGAGAGTCGACGCGCAGTAAGTGCATTCGAAAGCCAAAAGTCTGCCCAATCACTCAGCCAAGTTATGAACTACAGTTAGTCGGAGTTAGCCTGGCCGAGTGCCAGGCAATGTGGGTCTTCATGGATCAATGGGATACGCGTGATGTCCTTCGGCTAGATTCTGTTTGCTGCTCTGCGCTTTGCACGTCTTCCGTTTGCCCGATTTCGTTGGCCATAATTGTGCCATTAACGTGGCCGACTGCAGACTCCCTTTTCCCTCCCCCACCATCCTTCTCCCGACCCTTTCCCCTAAGTCCCCCTCCTACTTGGCTTGTGTCTACATTTGCATCCGTTTAGGCAAGTATTTTTCCTGCCTTTCGAAAGTCGCATTTAACGGTCCCTCCTAATGTGCGCATTGATGCGCTTTTCCACCCACACTAAAAAATATTTGTTTACTTTAAAACTAGAATAGAATTAAATTGTACATCCGTCTAAAAAATATTTTTCATACATAGTGTGTCTTTCAATACTTAGAAATTTACCCAAATTTTAATTAACACATAATTTCTGCTGTTAAGTGATTTTAAACCATATTTCCAAAGCTTTAAATATCAGATGTCCCTGTATTTATACCTACTTTATAATTTTATATTTAAAATATTTGTATTGTTTTATTTATAGGTGAACAATTAAAATGTGTTTTGTGGAAATGTATAACATTGGTGATCTTTTCATTTAATAACATAATACTTCTAAAATCTAGGGACTTTTTAATTTAGGACAAATATTTTTCCAAGTGCCGGCAACATTTGAGCGGAGGATACAGATTTTAGATTCGATCCGTTTTGGGGCGTGTAACTGGGGCGCAACAAAGGCCATTTGCGCAACTGGCACATAATCAACAGTTGCTTAGTCAGGGCGTTATGGATCGCGTTCCTCCGAATTTCCACATTTCGATCCAGGCCACAGTCAAAGTTTCCAATGCTCCGCAGCTTTATCCATGCTCGTTATCATAATGTGTTGGCTCATTTGGCTGGGCTGCCTCAGATCCAACGGATACTGGGGGATATACCCGATGAGGTGGGTGGATCCCAGTGCATCGGGAGCTGGCGACTCTGTAATCAGCGAGGTGTGAGTGACCTGGATAAGGTTGGTCAGTGGCGGGAGATGGGGAAATTGCTGGGCCAGCCAGCCGAAGAGAATGTTGGAAAATACTTCGGCAAAAAGCTACTTGATCCTCTCATATTAAAAAGCATTTCTTGAAGCCATAAACGGTTAGAAAGGTTGAAACTAGTGGAAACCACTTGCAATGCCCGATGGGCGGTTGGATGGCATTCCTTGACCCCGCTGATTTCTTTTGGGTGGCGATCTGGTTTTGGGAGGCGGTAAAAAGATCTAAACGAAAGAGGAACACAAGAAAGAAGTCACTTAATTGCCACCAATTAGTGTTAAGTGCATTCGATATGCGATTTCAAGTAAAGTTACCTATTTTAAAATAGTAGTTTTACTATTAGTTATTAGGTTTTATGAGCCTGCTTTAGAAGCTTCAAAAATTCGTTATATTCGGGACTATTTTTATTATATTCGGGATTAAATTCTCTTCTAGTGGAATCTAAAAAAACTACCGTGAATATATATTTTTTTTAAATTATTTCTTTTTCAATTTGCGACATTTGCACTGTCGGGCGCCTCGGTGAAATGTTTATACCAGGCATAAGATGACATATATTTTAATGATTTGAGAAGACTGTTAAAATATATAATAATAAAATCTGAAAGTTTCGTTTCAATCGACTATTTCTTTCCTCCCCAAAAAAGTCCTCGGAAAAATCGATTTGTTGACCCTTCTAAAGCCCTTAAAGGCTCGTAATTTGATTCTCAAAAAATCTACTTTCAAATTTGTCATTTTAACGTTGATCCAATTTTTGACATAAGTTTCCGATGTGCTATTAAAAGGTGACCCACAACTGGACTTCCAAAGTCCATAACTTTATCAAATTTTGTCCGATTCCAAAGTGGCATACCTCTGAAGACTTCTAATTTGATTCTCAAAAAATCTGCATTCAAATTTTTCCTTTTAACGTTGATTCAATTTTTGAACCATTTTCATGTCATTTATTTCCAAGTTTCCGATGTGTTGTTAAAAGGTGGCCCACAACTGGACTTCCGATCTCCATAACTTTATTCCAAAGTGGCATACCTCTGAAGACTCGTAATTTGATTCTCAAAAAATCTGCATTCAAATTTCTCATTTTGACGTTGATCTAATTTTTGACCCATTTTCATGTCATTTATTTCCAAGTTTCCGATGTGTTGTTAAAAGGTGGCCCTCAACTGGACTTCCGATCTCCATAACTTTATCAAATTTTATCCGATTCCAAAGTGGCATACCTCTGAAGACTCGTAATTTGATTCTCAAAAAATCTGCATTCAAATTTTTCATTTTGACGTTGATCTAATTTATGACCCATTTTCATGTCATTTATTTCCATGTTTCCGATGTGTTGTTAAAAGGTGGCCCTCAACTGGACTTCCGAAGTTCATAACTTTATCAAATTTTATCCGATTCCAAAGTGGCATACCTCTGAAGACTCGTAATTTGATTCTCAAAAAATCTGCATTCAAATTTTTCATTTTGACGTTGATCTAATTTATGACCCCTTTTCATGTCATTTATTTCCAAGTTTCCGATGTGTTGTTAAAAGGTGGCCCACAACTGGACTTCCAAAGTCCATAACTTTACCAAATTTTATCCGATTTCAAAGCGGTATATCTCTTAACTTAAATGACTTTATAGATTTAGATTTCATTGATAAAATATGTATTATTTTCTTATTATATGTAATATTTATTTCCTTTATCTTTGACCCAAACTCTTACACAGGCCTAGTCCAACTTAAATGACCTATTTGACCAGACAAAGTTGCCATGGAATTCACTAATGATCCCTCTCATATTCCAACCTCGATAATTTGCCAAAATGTTGTCCAAGAATTTGTTCATCTACTTGAGTTGCCCCACTGCAAATTATGCCTTCTTCAATTAACGCCCGGAGATCAATTTTCGGTCGCAGACTGTGACCAAATAACCGACTAATGCGCCCCGTCTAGATTCTTTCTGGTCGAGATCAGGGCGGGGCACTGGATGTGAAACCAATTACCAATTATCTACTGTTTTCCACACAAATTTAACATAATTTGGCCAGTTTTGCGTTCAAATTTGTGGCACAATTTGTGGAAGTTGGCTGTGGTCAGGGCCAACAAACGGCACCACGGCCAAAAAATGAGGGGCGGGCAGGAGGACGGTGAGTTGACTCCGGCTGACTCCAATTGTGGCCGAAGATTATTATTTTGGCTACCGACTACCGACTGCCAGGCGTATTTCGCATAATCGAAAGTGACCGAACCGCAGCTATTTGACTGATCTTTTGTATGCCACTCGGGTAACGGTCGATCGTTGGTTATGCACAGGTTGAAAAATATTACAAAAATGAATATAAAAAAATCAAAAAAAAAAAAGGCTTTGGCAAAAAATGATTGATGCCAATGGCGAGCGCCCCGGCTAATACAATTTAAAATTCAGTTAGAAACAAAAGAGCAAACAGAAACGTACGAAATACGGATTGGAAAAAAATATAAAATACAAAAAATGAAAAGTATTCATGGATAGATCGCATAGTTTTAACCGCATTTCGCCGAAGGCGTAACACACTCTAAACCGGAAGGGTAATTAACTCGCCTTGCCGATCACGCCTTTGCATTCAGATCGGAGTTTGGAGATGGAGATCGGAGCCGAGATGGATGGATGGATGGATAGATGACTTGGGTTGGTTGCCCAGATGGATGGTCGGGTATATTAAAAAGCTATAAGTTTCGGGTTTCGTTTCGTTTTGATCTCTTTCTCGATCTATTTTTTATTTTTGCTCTGCGCCAATGATTAATAATCGGAGTTGGTTTATAGGCAAATGCGTTCACAATTATGTTTTGGGTCTGCGGCCAGGATTGATGGGTGTATAAAGTCTTCTTTTATGCGGTAATTGAGTGTAGATGAACCAACCTCTTTTTGAATGGCTTTATTATGCCCACAAAATTTGGTTTTGGCTTGTGCGGTTTTCCTGATCTCGATTTTAGAAAGACGGGCCTATAAATTTAATTGCGCTCTGGAAAATTTGACTAATAAATGCTGTATAAGCCTAGAAAATTTCGAAAAGAATTAAAAAGTAATGAATTTGATGGTTTTATTTCCGAAGTAATTCTATCAACATGTTTGCTCCAGTTTTTACAGATCGTAATTATAATGCCCATTCAAATAAAATTCATTGAGTTTATGCGATTGTTTCTTTTATTGATTTTTCATGTTTCATAACGATCTTTTCTGGTTTTTCATATATATAATAATAATAATATAATTAAACGTTAAGTAAATGTTATAAAATTGATTTTGTTTTCTTATTTTTGTGTTGAGAATTGCAATAATTAGCTCTATAAATATGTTAGACTTACGGCATACGTTATAAATCGATTTACACATATAGATTTATGTATATATATAAAGCCTATACACATACACAATCAAAATATCATATATATATGTATATAATCTACAGAGTTCCAAAGTAGTTGAAATCGACTCACAAAGTTAAGACTTTCATATGTCTATGTACAGATGTTTAAATTAGCTACACTTTTAAGGTGGTTTTAGAGTGGGTTTAAGTATAGTATATAGTTTATAAAGTTTTCCCTTTAAATTGTATTTATTTGTTTTTTCTTTGTTGTAGTTTAAGTTTTGATGCTTCACCGTCTTTTTCCATTGATTGCATAGCTAATGTTTAGAGTTGGTTTAGTACAAGTTGTGTGGAAATGGTAACTACTTAAAAATAGGTTTCCCTCTCGGAGGCACGCTTAAGTAAGATTTAAAGTAAGATTTTCTTTTAACAACAAGGAAATTGCCTGTTATTCTGTTTCTCGGTTATTAAGAGCTTATTGTGATGGCCTTGGGATTGTTGTTGTTGTTGTTGCTGCCGCTGCTGCTGTTGTTGTTGGTGATGTTGCTGCTGTTGTTGTTGTTGATGCTGCCAGTGTCCTTTTCGAGGTTCAAGGACTGATCTTCGCTATTGGGATACTCCTCGGTATCGCTCTCCTTCCCACCCAAACTGTTGGGTGTGCAGACGCGGTTCATAAAGTTGCGTATCTCATCGAAGTACTCGGCATTGCCAGCGGAACTGGGCGAATCCCTGAAATTGTTGCCCTCCAACTCGTGCTTCTTCACATGTCTATCGAGATTCGTCTGCTGGCCAAACGTTCTATCGCAGATATCGCAGCGAAAGGGACGCTCCTTTTTGTGGATATTCCTTACGTGGCGCTGCAGGTTCGAGGATATGCTAAATGCCCGATCGCAGAAAGTGCAGGGATACGGCTGCTCGCCGGTGTGCGTCCTCAGATGCCTAGTCAGGTTGGCCGATCTGGGGAACACCTTTCTGCAGTACGTGCAGGAGTAGCGATCCTTGGCCGTTGGGATTTTCCCGGGCGGAGGCGGCCGCTTAGTGGCGGGCCCTCCGCCCGTTTGCCATAAAAAAGGAAACTGAGCTAAATAGAAGTCCTCCAGTATTGTGGGGGGCACGCGGCTCTTTCTCTGTAACTCGCTTAAGTGGGCCAGAGTGGCCCCCGTTGGTCGCGACACTGCCGTTGCTGCTGCCGCTGCTGCTGCCGCTGCTACAGCCGCTGTTGCTGATGCTGAAAACGTCTCTGTTACCGCTCCGCCCTCGGACGCGCTGCTCAGCTCACCGCCCGCACTTGTGGGCGGCGACGGCGAGGGGGTGAGCTCCGGCGAGGCGGTGGGCGTGGACTTGTGCGAGTTCGAGGAATCCGCCGAACTGTGCGATTTGCGCACTTTCGGCACGGGCGGCCCCCCTTCGTTCTCGAACTCTAGCACTCTGGGTAGAAAGTTATCGAACAGGTCGTTCTCCGGTAAAGGAGCGTGAAGAAAGGAGATGGATGAGCCTAAGCGCTTGCGACATATGGAAAGGTCCAGCGGTGCATCGGCTGCAGACGGTGTATCTGATGGTGGTGGAGTGCTCACGATGTCGATGGATTTCTACGGATAGAGGAAAAAGGAGATAAATAAATTAGCATATTATTGTATGTAATGAGAAACAAATGGCTTAGATTTAAAAAATATATAAAAACGACAATTTTGTTAAAAAAACAAGAGAGAACGCTATAGTCGGGTGCCCCGACTATCAGATACCCGTTACTCAGGTAAAGGGAGTGCGAGGGAGATGGAGATAGAAACTTTGATCACGCATAACTTTTTAACGAATGGTCCGATTTGAAAAATTTCTTCTACATTTCGAAAGGTATTGATAAACACAATAAAACTGCATTTTTACTTTTCCGAAATATTTAAATTTTTAAAATCGTATATATGCGATTGTGGGCGTTAAAGGGGGCGTGGCACCTTTTTGAAACAAACTTGCGCTGCGTAGGAACTCCTAGAATCTGCATGCAAAATGCCAATCTTCTAGCTTTTATAGTTTCCGAGATCTCAGCGTTCATACGGACAGACAGACGGACAGACAGACGGACAGACGGACAGACGGACAGACGGACAGACAGACGGACAGACGGACATGGCTATATCGACTCGGCTAGTGACCCTGATCAAGAATATATATACTTTATAGGGTCGGAAACGCTTCCTTCTAGCTGTTACATACTTTTGCACGAATACAATATACCCTTTTACTCTACGAGTAACGGGTATAATAAAGCCAAAAAGGTAATTCAACCCTATTTTGTTTATAAACAAAGAATATATCTAAAGATAAAAAGTTAAAAGTACAAAAATTATGTTGGCTAATCATTTGCAATTTAAATTTGAAGTATAAAAAATCTATAAGTTAAAAAAAGATCCCTTTCTCTTTCTATACATACATATAATAGATATTTTTTGACTTACCCTATCATCTTCGACCTGCTGTTGATCGGGACTACTTCCTCTTTCGGCATCTCGCATTATCTCCTTCTGCTCCTCCGACTTGATCCCATTTTTGACCTCATCCGGCTTTAATTTAATGCCAAAGGAATTGCGGCTATCGTCGTCTTCGCCTTCGGAAACATGCAGGAATGGCTCCCTCTTAAGCTTCTTCGCTGATTTGTAGACCAACTCTTCATCCGTTTCTTTGTTTAAAGGCTCCAGAGCAGGGGAATTATTTTTCAGAAAGCCAAATGGTAATTTCTGATCAAAGGCGGAATTCGGAGAAGTAATCTCGGGTGCGACACAGCCCATGTCCATGGGTGTTTTTGAGAAGAACATGGGAAAGTTCGGATTATGCAGCGCATTTTGTGGTAGGAAGTTGGGAAATCCGTATGCCGGAAATCCGGGAAAGAACGGCGGTGCATGGCGAAACATCATGAAGGGATTCGGTGGCGAGGACATGGCGGCGGCGGCGGCAACAGCAGCTGAGGGCGAGGATTCCGAAGATTCCTTTGCTGGCGTTGCACAGGTGGATGTAACAGTCGCCGTCAGATGTTGCTGAATTTCCTGAGCAAGCTGATGCTGATGCGGATGCGGATGTGGATGCTGATGCGGGTGGTGGCGATTGATGTGCTGGTTCCGAAACACCGGACCCGTCGAGTCGCAGAACTTTTTGTGCTTAGTTAGGGAGGTCGTTGTGCTGAAGCTCTGGTTGCACTTGTCGCACTTGATCTGATTCCGGCAGGTGGCGTGCATCCGCTTGTGCCGACACAGGTTCGAGAATTGCGTATACGCCTTGTGGCACACCTCGCAGGGGAAGGGCTTCACGGAACTGTGGATGTGCTGGTGCTGCTTCAACCCAGACGAGGTTCCGAACGTTTTCCCGCACTCCGGACACGGATGACAGCGAGCTCCGACGTGGTTGGCGCGAATATGTTGCTGTAATAACGAGGGGTCACGGTATACCTGCAAAATACAGATCACAGAGCAGAGCAAACGGTGTGAGTTGCGATTGGTTGTCGGAGGTGAAATAAAAAATAATGTACACAGCTAAAAAATACTACAATCAATTGTAAGACAATACAAAAATAAAAATAAAACATACGTAAATATTTAGAACTGAGTAAATGAATGGTCTTAAACTTTTCCTTAGTATTTTCATAACATTTAACCATTTAATTGTTTATCTGAAGTTTCGATTTCAAAGTGATATGTCAAATATCAAATTATCTACGAAAATATGTGTTTTCTTTCTCTGCATAAAATATGGAGCTGGTTGGGTGATCTGGTTCCAAAACCAAATGAAACGAAACTGAAATTAATCAATCATCTGGTGGTGCTGCTGTTGCTGCTTTTGCCGCTTAAACGGATTTTTGGGGCTAGACAATGGCCGACGCTCTCCAAGATTACGCAAAGGTAACCAGAGCAACAACAGCGATTGGCAACAACATCATCTCCACCCACTGGCAGCAGCCAAACACCTTCGTCAATTATTAACATCAATTGCTACAATTGTCATTGCCTGGCTCGAATCATCTATCACCCCCGATATATCCCCCAATGGAGATCAGGGCTGGAAAAGAAACCAGCAACTTGGCCCTCAAAAATGAAGGGAAAAGGGAGCATAATAGCCAGAAAGAGTGATCTTGAATTGGAAAAGGCTACTTGATTAGCATGATGAACAGAAGTCATCTAAAAAGTTTTTATTCTACCTTATAGTTTTAAGTAGAATATTGAATTTGTGGCTTTATATAAATTTATATAAAAATATTATAATTTTAAAAAAACGATGTTTGTAAAATTTAAAGGTAAAATTGACTTTGAAATGGGATATGTAAACCAATCTACTTAAAGATATCTGTATTCTTCAACATATTAACAAGTAAATAACTAAATCTTTCCGATTTAATGTATATATGTTGATCTCAATAAAATTAAAACAAACTTTTTTTTCCTATGACAGTGACAAATACTGCGACCAGCCCTAAACCAAAAATACTCGAGCTCAAACTCGCACTTTTCGTTTTTCGGCGGGGCGAAGGCAATGACAGATCGCGCTTGGGAAGAGGATAAAGGGGACGTGGGCCGGCGGGGTGTTGGATGGGGAAGGGGGAATCCAGCCTGGCATCCAGTTTTGTGTACCCACTTCAAACTTGATTTCGGTCAGCCGTTTCGACTCCCCCGTCGCCTTTTTACGATACTGTTATGCCTAATCATGCTGTCATAATGCGCTACGAATTCATATCAAACGATGATCGAGGCAGCCTTTTTTGTCTATCTCTATGAGCCACACAAAAGGTGGAAAATCAGGGGTATATGGAGGGGATTTGGCGGGGATGAGAAGGCAGGGGGATTCAGGGAAGGCAAAGAGAGAGAGGCGACATACAAGAATAGCTCGTGCTATAACTACATCAAATGGATTAGATTCAACTACTCTCCAAAAAGGCGAAAAACGCCACAAAAGACAACGACAACAACTACAAAAAAAAATATATATATGTATATAAATATAACGACAACGACGATCATGGTGTTACAGCAATAACAACAAACACTGGGGAAATAACAACTATCAAAACTGTAAAAAAATATATACTAAAATAAAGAAATCCACAGAAAATCCTAACGTTAAATATAAAAACTTTTTATGAATTTAGTATCATGATTAAGACAGAATTGTTTTTAAGATCCTTAATTATTTTTTTTACATTAAATTCATTAAATATTTTTTTCTGTGCACTGAAAGATGAAAAGCAGTCGCAGCTTCGGTGGGTTGAGTGTAGGTGTTTTGGCATTCGGTGGTGCAGAAGTAAAGAAGTGGAGAAGTGGTGCAGAGTCTCCGACGAGATCTCTGTTTTTCTGTGGAATGTGGCTTGGGTGGGGGGTATTATCAAGGAGGTGGACAGGGGGGGACGGGGTGAGGGAGGGACTGTAAGCCAACATCTAGGAGCGTACGTGGGGTCAGCCAAGGCATCAGCGCATGTGGGTCTATGGCCCGAAGATGAGATCAGACTCTGGTAGCCTAATGGAGTTGAAACTTCTGGTTAAAGTTACAGAGAAATAAACTAAGAATGCTCGAGTTTCAGATGAAGATTAAGGCGAATTCACACACTTAGTTGTATTTTAAGGAAGGTTAATATTTAAATGTAATTAAAATGATGAGGAGTTTCATCTTTTAAATTCATATATTATTAAAACAGTTATTGGGAAAAGTATTCATTTAGTATAAGCTTCTTTGAAAAAACCTGTTAAAATTTTAAAAATGTTTTATGCTTTTGGGCTGAGGGTTAATACGCGTTAAATATTATTGTAGAAATGAATGAGATTCACAAAAGTTTTGTAATAAGCTCCTTGGCTGACAAAATAAAAGAATTTAACATTAAATAGAAAATAAAAGATAACCCCCAACATTCTTGTGCCCCTTCGAGGCCCCGTGAATTAACCCCCAACGATTTCACAGTTATCCGCCCCCCTTAACACCATTGTGCACTCAACTGCCTCATCACGGATGCCAAGCTAAGCCCTCGAACAAAGCCTTGTAGATCCGTGGCAAATCCCTTTGGAAACGCTTTAAGCCGGCTGCTTAAAACAAACAAAGCTGACAGCTGCAAAGTCCGCTCTTTTTTTGGGCCTGTCAGAGGGCCTACTCTTACCCGAAAAGCTTCGGACTCCAGCGAAAGTCTGGCCCAAAAGATCGATCATCATTTGTTTTGGGCCGAGTGGCTCCCGTTTAGGGATGGGTTTTTTTTTTTGGTTTTTTTTTATAAGTTTGGGAGATCGGAGAATTGAGAGTTGGGGAACCACAATGCGTGCTACTTACATGCCACCGAAACAATTACAGAGCGCTAAGTAAACCAACTGTAATGCTCGGCAGACATTGAAATACCGTTCGATTTGGAAATGGAAATGAAAATGGGAAAAGGGAAAAAGCCAAGAGAAAAGGCCTGGCTGCGACCACAAGATCGTAATCAACATGCCATTAAAACATCTTTGGAAGATGTCGAAGTCGCAGCGCGATGACAATGACGCATGAAACGAATCGTTCGATGGATGGATGATTTTCGATGGCTAGATGGATGGATGGATGGTATGGTACTCCAAGCCCTTTTGATTTCGCTTTGGCATTCAAATGCAGCCAAAGCCAGCGAAGATGAACTGAACAAAAAAGGCGGGTAAAGGGGGCTGCGACAGGGTTTCTTCATTACGGGTCGCTTAAGTGTTTCTGCTTTGGATGAGTACACGCCCTGATTTCAGCTATTGCAAGTAAGCCGCTCAGCGCGTGCTCAATCGTTGGCCAGGTGGGGGGATTGGGGGGCTACAGTCTTAAAAGCCAAGTTAGCAGCCCGCGGCTATTGATCCGCTTGAAATCAAAAGTCTTTTTATGTTGCCAAGCCACCAGAGCACCACGAGCCGATACAATTATTAATGACGGCGTAACTTTTCGGCCGATCGAAGGTTGTCGGCAACAGAAGCTAAGCCTGGATGCTCTCTCTTTATCTATATTGAAGTTATAGTCGCAGATATTGGGTCCAACTTTTTATGATACGTTTCTTAAAGCCCATTGGGGATGTGGTTATTATATTTTCAAATTACTGCTTTTCGTTTTAATACAGAAATATTTTTAAGTTTTGACTTTCTTCAAGCAATATTCCTTGATAAATATTTTAATATTTCATATTATAACTTTTTTACTTCTATTGTGGTAACTACAAAACTTTTTATTTTGTTGCCTATTATTGTAATTGATGTTTTGAAAAATACTTTAAATACACTTTATTTGAGAAAGGAAGCGAAAGTCCCATTAGGTTTTAAGCAAATAAAATGTGTCTTACAAAAGCAATAATACTGTTGAAATCTCTATTATTTTAGCTTAAATTATATATAAAAGTAAAAGTAAAGCTTACCAGGGTGCAATTCTCGCAGGAAAATCTTCGTTCACTATTGTGTGAGATCCCTTCGTGTTTGATGAGCAAAAGTCGATGGCAGAACTGCAATGGGCATTTCTTGCAGGAGAATTCGTCCTGCTTGTAATGATGAGCACCCACCAGATGATCGTCCAAACTGGAATGGAAAAATCCAACAATGCAATCGTAAGTCAAGGAAAATTTTAGGTTACTTAGGCACTCGAAGTCAGTGCTCCTTTCCCGCCCTTATCTGACTGGCTGTCATCGCAAGTGAAATTAGCATTGTGACATTTTCGTGGGGCTCTCCGCCAAATCGCCGCGGTTCAATCAAAGTCATGTGCGCCAGTTCACACGCCTTTGTTTGCCGACCACCTGGGATAACGCCCCCTGCGGAAAATCCCTCCCTCTTTTCTGGACGGGCGTCAATTAGTCAAATGATGTTCAATATTTAATATGCGCGGCCACTTGATAAGCGATCTCTCTTTCCCCAAAAAAAAAAAAGAAAAACAGCTGCGGCCAATGGGCAAAGGCGTCCTTGATGGAGGAGAAGTAGAATTGTGGCCAAAAGTGGTGCGTGGTGGTGCGATGCTTATCGTCTTGTATGTGGGTGGAGTAAAATCAGGCAAAAAAAAAATATATAGCAAAGCGATGTCGACAAGAGGCGGCAACGTTTTCATTTTTCTTTGTTTTGTCATCGTCATGGAAGAGTTGATAGTTCCAAGCCCCCCCAGTTCTCCCCCTTTCACTCCCTTCACCTGAAGTGTGGGCGTTTGTTTGGCTTACAGTCCATGCATGTTCAACATCAGATAAATGGCAAAAAAAAAGGAAAAATAGAGAGACAGCCCGGACACGCAGACATTGCTCACATAGCTTCCCTTCCATCGAGAGCTCCTCATGTAAAATTCAATAAATCACCGGCACTGATAAGTGAACCCCAGGGGAGGTTGGGGACCCACCACCCACCCACTCTAGTAACGGTAAACATACTGTACTATATAGACATATACAACCGCTCCACATCTCGGTCCAAACATCAAATCAAAGCTCGCTTTTAGCACTTCAACTTAAATATATGGGTATCTATGATTATAGCCGATGTGTGTGTATATATGGGGGATATAGAAATGTCATTTGCGTGTTGCCTCCAATTGTTGCTTTTGCTTTTGTGGCTGCTTGTGGGTCATTTATTCATTACAACGCAAAACATTTGTAAATATTGGGACAAAACTTTTGCATTAACCGCTTGAGTGGGAGGATGATGGTCATGTTTATTTTTCAAGAGGGAAAACTAAATGGCCAGATAGATGATCAGTAACGATGTATTTAAGGGAAAGCTGACATATGGAGTCGAGATACTTCTAGATAAACATTAATATGTATTTTCTTCAGTTGTTTCTGATTTTGATAACATTTTGTGAATAGAAACAGAGATTCCCTATTTTTTTAATAACAACTCTAACCCATGACTACCGAAAGTCCAAATCGTAAAATCAAAACAAATTAAAAAAAAAAACTAAAACCCAAAAACCAAATGTCGAATCGATGCAGGAGGCATTAAGGCTCAGTTAACACCTACAGATTGCACATTTGGTGCCATAAAAACCCAATCATGGAGCGGGCCAACACCAAACCAAAGTATAGTAAACTTCAGTTGGCCAAAGCGAACCAAAAGCCAGTCAAATCAAGACCAAGACCAAGACGATTTCAATTCAATTCATTTCAAAGCTCGGAGCTTACTCTCACTTTCGGTCGAGCGCCTCTTGGATGTTTTAATGGCACTTTTATTGGCCGCACTATTATCGCCATCAACTTTTAATTAAGATCTCCGCCGGAGCTCGGCTTTAGACCGCATATCCACATAGATCCGAGGCATTTAGCAACATTTGCGAATACTTTGTATATCGTTCGGATTTCTCTCTCAACTTCTACACTGATTTTATTCGCTGCGCACCCATAATTCTTTTGGGTAAGTTGGAAGCTAATTGGGGGCTTGTTTTTTCTTTTGGCTGAAGCAATTTGATTTAGATTATTGCCGATGCTGCTTAAATGCCAAAGCAATTTCAGATGCAGACATTCTCCTACGCGAAAAACAGGAGTTGGAGCACTGGAGGCGTTCTCCCCGGGGGTCTGATTAATGGCAGTCAAATTGGCCAGTAGTACTCACAGTTCTAAATCCGGATAGACTTTATCGCAGACCTCGCAGCGAATATCGAATTTGGTTTGGTCGTCTGCGTAATCTATATCTCCTTTCTTATCTTTGGAGAATTCGTCACCACTGTACAAAGAACCTGGAAAAGACAGAGAAGAATTGATTAGATTAAAATCAGACAGAATTGCTAAAATTATTGACCTATGATCATTTGTTTAATTTAAAAGAAATATATATTAAGCACTGATAGACAGGTTAGAGTATTAGATATTTTAAAGATTTGCCTTATTCAATTTTTAATAATTTATTAAATTAAAATTAGTATGGAACATTTTTTAAATATCTGTTTTATTATAACGCATTCTATTAGCAAACTAATGAAAACCTATAAAAACTATGTCAGTGCAAATAAATTTTTAAGGAAATTGGGTATTCAAATCACCGAAAAAGAATTTCAATTTTAAAGGTGATCTTAATGAAAACGTAAGCTCTTAAACTTTAGAGCACTTCACAATCACTCACAAAAAGAAGGCAATCGTCAACTTAGAATTTCACTATGTATTCTTTTGATCCTTAAGTTATCACTTGGACTGGTCACTTGGCACACAACCGTTCGGCTTCGCGTTTGATGAACAAGTGTGTCGTTCGCGGAGCATAATGCCGACGAGCTAATGTTTTGTTTGCCCGCTAACAATCTGCGGCAGGTCCTTTTTTTCTGGCCAGGACGCACTGACATATGACCAACACACACTATTGCACACACACTCACACAGGGGTAAACACGCAAACACTTAACACAAAATTGGTAGCGGAGACGAAATCGTGTGCACTCATATATGGCACTCGCATAGCTTGACGTTGAATAGATAATTGTCCCAAATGAAAGTAAGGTAAAGGCAAGACACCCCTACCCACCCCACCGCCTCTAGAGCCAAAACCTCACCCCTCTCTTAGCTTGGCCAACTCCCGACGAGTGCCAAGTGCGCGGATGCAGTGAGAAAAATAACTCTGCTTTTTCTTACATTTTTGGATGGATTTTTTCTTATATTAGATGAGCTGTTTTAGGTCCACAATAATAGACACTTGGACACATTTAAATTAATATTTAAATTTAATAAAAAGTTGAATATTTTAAAAGGTCTTTTTTACATCACTCAAATATTACTTATTTTAAAACAAATTTAATGTTCAACATTAAATTAAGAATACTATTTAAAAATAAGACAATATGAAACGTACATTTTGAGTGGTTAAAAAAAGGTATTTATCAAGGACCTTTGAATATTGAACTCTGTTTGAATAGTAAAAACTAAACAGTAATAACTATATTTCTCTCTGCACCTTTAAACAATTCCTAGGGGATATGAGTGTTGAATATGAGCAGAGAGGTTGAGGAGAAAAGCTGAGGTGCTCTAGGGGGTGTCTGAGGTAGAGGGTGGGGTGGGGGTGTTGTGCTAGGACTAGTTAGCAGGGGTGGTGGGCAGTGGACAACCACCAGGTGACACCAGCATAAGCACAGGCCCACAGAGAACAGCTAAGGGATGATGGCGATGACCAGAGATTATGCATGCAAGCACATCCGAAGGGTCAGCAGTCAACCCCTCAACCCGTCAACCTCTGCCACCCTGAGTACCCTGTACCCCCTTCTCCGTGCGGTTCCGTTGGACTGATTTCGTTTGAAAAGTCATATAGATATGGCACCTTACCAGGTTTCGCTGCTTTTGGCCTCTAAACAGGTGTTGCCTCTCAAGGCAGCCCACCCCCTCCGCTCGAGGGGTGGTTCCTAAGCACCACCACCACCACCCCCCTACCCAAATGTACTGCGCACAGTGGTAATTGCTGTTTGGGTCAAAAGTTAATTTTCAGCGTGTGCAATATGGCCGCAAAGGGCAGCGAAGATTCCCACGTCAAGAGTTTCTCCTTGTGGGCTGCACTTGAACTTTGGCTTGAGTTTTTTTTGTTTTTCATTTTTTGGGTGGGCAAGCGTGGGATAGTAGGAGGGTAGGATCTGTTTCTAGGGGGTGAAGATGGCACATAGGAGCCGAAGTGGGAGTGGGTTGACATATGGTGTACTAGCCGAATGGGAGGGCTATTGGTGTAGGTTCCTTGAGCCTGAGAATGCTTGGGAAAACGTATGTTTGGGTGGGTTCCTCTAAGTAGGGAGGAATCCTGGGAACTAAGTTTTTAGAAGAAATAAGCAGCTGGTCTAAGGAGCAATTTAAAAGATAAAGAAAAATACAATGTTTAAAAACAATGTTTTTAAAAAAATAATACCATTAAAACGTTTAAATAACGAAAAATGCCCTTTTATATTATAAGCATTCTACACAACAAATTTAAATTTAAGGCACTGTTTAGCCGTATAAACAATACAACATACAGGTATATCTAGAATGTCAGAAAAAAAAGTATCAACTTCTATTACTCTCCCAATAATTCTTATTTTTTTAGGCAATTAATCAAATACTCAGTGATTTATTGGCAACTTTAAAAACTTGCTGTCTGAATACCCATTGATTTCTTATCATTTAGCCATTGCCCAGCCCTCTTGTCAGCATCTCCCCCAAATCCTGCACAATCCTTTCACGCCTTTCACCAGATCTCTCTCTGCAATTCTATTCCAGCAGCTGGATTCCCCTTTCATCTGACAGATTGATACACTCGCCCCATGCAGAACTGACAATTCAATAGATCCATTGTAAGGCTTCAGGATGTGGATTATACAGAGGGGAGGCCGAAGGGGGCGGGCCAAAACTCTTTGACATGCCAATTACATATCACGGAATCTGCTGCTGGCTGCCAAAAGACACCGGCTGACCCTGAATCGGAGGCTGTATCTCGCTAAACGGAAGCCGAAACTGTTGACAAATGATTGATTGAATTATTTACACCTTACAACTTGCTCAAACAGAATACAGAAAAAAATCAAAGTTAGATCCGCCTGCTAATCGATTTGGCAGCAGCAGAAATAAAAAGGGTTAGGTGGCACTCCTAATGATGCCCAAATTGACACCCGATGATCATTTAGCCGAAGACGCGACACGAGCCTTCTATTTTATTTTATTTTTTCCCATTCGCTTTTTTATTTTCAGCTCATTAATCATCCATCAGCTTTGCCGGCGACAAAGTGTCAATCCGCGCACGTCTGTGTGTTTTTCGTATCTGAGAGTTAGTTAGGATCTCGTTTATGGGCTTGGTCTATTCTATGTGGCATGTGCTCTGCCAGTCGCCAGTTGGCGATACGAATGTATCTAAATGTGCTTCGTGTATAGTTTGTTCCATTGTTTGATTGGTCGATTGAAGAGTTGCCGCGATTTAAGCCGAAAGCCATCTCAAAAGTGTCTTGGTTTCGTTTATTTTTGGGGAATGGTTTCGGTCTTGTTTTTTTTGGGGGAGGGATGGAGTCAAGGTGAAGGGAGTTCGCTTTGAGTTGACAACTTTGTGGGTTGGTTCTGTTTAGAGTGATTTAAGGAATGGCTATACAATTGTTAAATAGTTTGGATCATAGCAAATGTTTTAAATCGGCTTAAATTTAAATGGCTTGATTAGGAATTAATATTATTTTAAGGAGCGAAAGCAGAATGAAAATTAATATTTAATTTGCACAAATATTTTTAGGATTATTTTATTTTGTTATGTCTTTTAATTTGTTAAAAATCAAGCAAGTAAACAATTTCGAATCCATTTGCATAACTTTTAAAAAACTTTCCCATGCTATTAATGGCACCCCTTGACATTTGCATTTTCCTTACTGAAAATTCTCGAACATGTAAAATTCCCAGCCCAAGCACTCATTAAATATTCCTCGACAAAAGTAACGGTCAAAACTTGGAACTCCCTCTCCTGAAAATCCAGCGATCTTTCGCTACCGTTTCAACCACACTTTCGATCGCTCCTTGCCACCTTTTTCCTTCCGAAAACCTTGATCGCGTTGCCACCCCCGTGCTGCACTGGTGGCATTCGCTGGCATATCCTTGGGCCCAGGACATCTGGGCCTTGTCTTCTGCCCGACCAGAGACTAGAGGAAATTTTCCTGCTTAGCAGAGCGTGAATTGCGAGAAAAGTTGCTCGAAAATACGTTATAAGCGATATGTTAAAAAGTCAAGTCACAGGTGTCCTTTTTTTTGTATGGGAAAGCGGGTTGAATACTAAGCTTGGAAAAAAGACTTGTGCGAAAACTTTGACAGCTTGGCTTTAATTGAAAAATTTAAAAATAAATGCGAGACCATTGTAAGGCAACTATGATCCGGCAGATAAGCATATGGAATTAACCATTATGTTCATTACATATTCAAATTTTAAGCCGGCTCGTCAGTGAAAACATTTCCGTGGAGATTTCAATTTGTGATAATCAGAAAAAAGAGTGTGAAACGCCAAATGAGCTGTCCATAAATCCCACATGTTTATAATCAAACACGCCCCGGCTTCCCATTTTCAAGGGACTCGAGGGATGCAGGATTAGGCTTAAATTGAGCGTGTGCCATTTTGACTGTCAGCAACATATACGTCGTATACACCATATATATCGCTGACACAATCTCGGGCCCTTTGTTTGCTGATGGATCTCTAATGAAATTATCAAACATTTTAATAACAAATGAAAACATGTGCGGTTGCCGGAATATTGCATGGGCGCATGCGCAGCGCACAAATTGATCGCATTTAGGGGAGGCAAAAGGGTGCTTCTCTGACATCACAGGAGGGATGTCCTATTCTGTGAGCCCTCATAAGCTGTTCCTGTTCCTTTTTTTTCCTGTTCCCGAGATTGTATCACGTCGCTCGTGCCAGGAACTCTGTCACGGGCATTGCCACCGGATTCTGGATTTTGGATTCTGTATCCCCGATTCTGACCTGACCCACAGTGGTTGCGTTGTGCGTTAATTGCCTGGCACCACAGCTGCACTTATTAGCCACACCAGCATGGACACAACTCACACATTATATTCATTTTCGATGTCAAATCAAGATGGAATTGAACAATTTTGTGTCAGGGGTCCTCCTGGTAGCCATGCATTGGGACGGGGAATGATATCTTAATTACTTTATTCTATGCTTTGTATTATTTCAACTTATCAAAGTTGTTAAGATATAATAATACTGTTTTTTTTGGGCTTGTTGACATTCAAAAGGAAATTTACTATACTAGTTATTTGGCAAAAAAAATTAAATAGAGTACTCACTATTATCACGATCGCTGCGATCATCGCTGGGCAGGGAGCTGCCCCCGCCCCCGCTTTTCGGTCCCGAGGTCGAGGCGGCGGCCACTGCGGCGGCAGCGGCTGCTGCGGCGGCTGCGGCTGCCAGGACTCCTCCGCCGTTCATGAAATTCTCGTTCAGATGAACAGGACTCTTGGGCCGCCCGTCGACGACCATTTCACTGCCAGCATTCACATAACGATTCGTTTCGTACCACAGCTATTAATAAAAAAGGGAAAATAATTGTTAAAAATTGTAAAAAAAAAAAATGTAGGCACGTGCCTAGGGGTATTGGGTCAAGGGGTTTGTACTCACATAACCGCCATTAATGTAACTTTCTAAATTAGCCTCGCCAATGCCCTCGTCCTGAACAGTTCGGATCTTTTTCAACCACGTGGACACATCGGATGTGGGCTCCAGCCATCCATTAAAATATTCATTATATGCCTGCAAAAAAACATAAGGGTAACTAATTTAAAATATATATTTTTTTAATTTTTTTCAACTCAATTTTAAAAGTAATTGAAAATTGTATTGGGTTTCTAAAGACAACTGCCGTCGCCATCTGTTGGTTCACCCAGGCTAACTGTACTATTTCTACACGTTGTCTTTGCTAAGCCATTGCAACAACCCTCAAAACTGTCATACAGCATGTATAATTGACATTTGCCGAGGTAGATACTTAAATATATGGGTAAAATTGATTATTAAATACATTAAAATATAAAAACTATTTGGGAAATATAATATTAAATTAAAAAATAAAATCATTTATATATACACACGTTTTAAAATGATAATATTACAAAATGTTCATATTTTATGGCATTAATTAGGATAAGTAATTATTATAATAATAATTTATTGTGTTAAACTTAGATATTTAAATATGTAGCATAAATGGTGAAGTTTTCTTTTGTTCCATGATTTTATTTATACCATTTTATCTGCAGAATAGTAAATATTTATGATAACACCCAATTATTACTGAGCTAATTAATAGGGTTTTTTAAGCACTTTAGTAACAAGCAAAACTCAGCAAGACGCCGCCCACAAGTCTGCCCACCACATCAAGGTCACTGGCAGTAAGGGGAAACTGCAGCCATAGTGCGAATACAAGAAAAAAATAAAACAAAACTAAACAAAAACCGCCGACAGTTTTTGTATACAAAATAAAAGCAGCGGCGCCAAGCTGAAATACGCATAATTTACAAAAATCGTTAACGGCGGCTGCCGTTTTATTTTTTTGTTTGTAGTTGCGGCTGGAAATGGGGAAAACAGCCTTAGACTTTGCGACGCCGAAAGTATGAGGCAGTGGCAAAAAAAAATCAACCACAAATTAAAATCGAAAAACCAAAAAAAAAAATCAAAAACTCAACCGCTGCGGTTGACTGAATGACTTTGCGTATGCGCAACGTTCAAGTCGCCGCCGTCAGGCTCTTGTCTATGAATTCATTTGGAAAAACGGCATTTTACAGTTTGCGATTGAGTGGTGTGCGAGTGTGTGAGTGGGAGAGTCTGGAGGGAAAGAGAAAGAGAGAGAGAGAGTGACGGTATACCATATGTGCACGCTCCAAAAATTAAGTTAACAACGCCTCAAGTGGCTTCTTCTGCCCCGCGGCATATGCAGAGCATAAATAAAATAAATACAAAATTATACGCGCGTATAAATGAAATAAACTTTGCGTTTTCAGGATGAGGGAGAGGTTGGTTTGGTTTCCTCAAGTGGTTTCCCAAAACGGGGAGGAAGTTATAGTTGCAAAGAGGTATAATTGGAAGGGCTTAGATTTTTTGAAAAACACGGAGAATTTGCAATTGCAATAATTAGAAGGAGGAGGAGATATGGTTAAAACAGCATGGAATACATGAAAACACATATGTATGTTTTAATCAACGGAATATAAGTAACAATTTTTTAGTTTAATATATTTATTTCCTAATTAATTTTACTAAATGAAATGATGTATTAGAATATACTCTAACAAAATCTATCACAAGCAAAAAATGTTATATATATTATAAAAAGTTTATGCTTGTCAAATTAATTGTCTGAACTTATTAGCTTGATAAGTCTTATCTAAGCACTTACTGACTTTGGCAATAAGTAATCAAAGAACATATTAGCAACTGTTTTTACACTTTGTTCCCTTTTGAAGAACATAAGTGGGACGTCTAAGAATGGTTGATTTAAATGTCGATTGATTAAACAATGATTTACTTTTTATAAAAATCAAAAAATTGTAAAAATGCTGTTTCATTCTTTGAAAATTTATTTCAAGTTCCCACATGTTCTCATATTTACATCTTGGCAATAAATCCCAAGATTGGCAATAAATCCCAAGATCTTTCAGGTTATCCTATAGGATCTTGGTCATTCAAGACGCCAAAGGAAACTGCAATCCGATGCAGCCACTAAAAAATGATAAGATCATTGGAATATGCCCAGATCCATGGCTAAAAATTGCCGTGACTGTTTGGCAAACAGTTCCAGTTGCCCGTTTTGTCCGTCGATAATCCCCGGACAGAAATCACACATGTCCTTGCCTATTCATAACTTTATTAAAAAGGAGGCCACAGCTCGCAGCAGCAGCAAAACATGAAACAGTCAATGGGCAGGGAAAATATTTACGCGCCAGAGATAATCTCAAAGTGTTGGGTTCGTTTGTTCGGTTGGCAGAACTGGCTTCGAATTGCCAGATCAGATCCTCCAGGAGGATCAGTCGGGGAAACGGTGGCAGATAGGGACAGATACGGCCAATGTATCTGTCAAAACGGAAATGTGAGCGATAAAAGTGCGCTTGATTTGAGGATCATCCAGGAATAAAGGCACAGATTCAAAGGAGGTAGCCGAAGGGATCCGAGCTATGTTATTTTTGCAATTTTCGCTCGAGTGGCAGAAACAATATTTTTGTAGCAATACCTGAGTTGTGTAGGTAAACGAAGGAGATCCCTCCTTGTGCAAATTGTCAACAGGACGAGGCGCGATAATTTGATTGGATTGTCTGTGTCCCCGAAGGAAGCAAGAGGATGGAGGGAGGAAAAGTGTCAGTTGACTGACTGACTGACTGACAACCGATCGAAGGGTTCATCGGCAGTAGCCTGCGATCCCGTCCCGATCCCGTTCCCGTTCCCTAATTGGAATCATCAGCCGGCCTCGACTTAAGCCTCATTTGGGGTGCACTTTGTGGATTTTCGTCCTGGTCGCTTTCCTGGTTTTCCACTCCGGCGGAGGTAAATTAGCTCTGGCCAGGGATTAGGCCCATTTGACTGACAATTGATACCCTCGAGGTAGAGCTCTAATCAAATCTCTTTCCAATCGTTTGATTTTCCCTGCGAAAACCACCCAAAAATATTGGGATGACTCAATTCGGTTGCAATTTTCGCACATAAAAATTGGTACGGATCTGATGGGATTAAATTTCCCGACCAGCGAAAAAAAACAGTAATTTGAGATTGCAAAAATGCGCACACATGTGAAAGGCTTAAGGTCCGTTTTGGTGATAAATTCGTGATATATAAGGATATGGTATTGGGTTATCAGGCGACGGATTTGAGCCCTGATTGTTTGGGAAAATATTTGTGGTAGAAACTAACGACTCTTTTGGGGTAGAAACTAGCCACATTTTTGGGTGGAAATTGGAGAGTTATATGCGAATTTAAGTTATATCTCATAATCCTGAATAAAAGCAATACTAATATTTAATTATTTAATAATACTATACGAAACTGTTCCACTTTCAATACTAATATAAACGGTTAACAAGGTGTAACATTACATTTGATTTTTAAACTATATAAAAAGTATATAAATTGTAACTAAGACCAAACCTCTGAAGGTTTATCTTGCCTTATATTTATAAAAGTATGTTTAACTTCAAAATGTCCTACAAATTCTGGCCTTCAACCTACTTTTACCTTATTATAAAGACGAGAAAATACTTTCCTTTCAATTCTTAAATATAGTAACTATTATATTCGAGAAAGTAGACTCACCTTCCATGCCAGCTGCTGATCGTCGGGCTGGTGGCTAAGCTTCATGGGGAAGGGTCCGTAGCGGGTGCCCCTCTGGAGCGGCGTCTTCGCAAAGACGCCGCCGCTATCACGGATGTCCAGATCACAGACGGAATCGCGTCTCCTCACCCACTCGTGCAGGATGTGCTCCGCCTGGGCGCGGTCCTTGAAGAAGGACTCCATGCCGTCGGCGGCGGGGGATTGGGATTCCACGGACAGTGGCAACGTGGGAGGCGGTGGCTGCTGCTGCTTTTGCTGTTGCTGCTGGAGATGATTGGGGTGATGGAGGAGCTCCGGATCCTGAATCCGCCTCGTCGGAGATCCGTCCACGGGATCCTGCGGCGGCAAGCGATGGCGGGTGGCGAATAAGTCCTCAATCTGCTCAGGCTGCGGATTGAAGCCCTGACTCCTGGCACTCAGATCCAGGTGATGGTGGTGATGATGGTGGCGCGCAACACTCGCACTTGGATCGAAGTCTTCGCCGCTGGAGCCTGTTAAAGAACGAATCGAAATCGAAATAGACACCGATTAGAAATGACTTTTCCGACCGCTGTCAAGCACTCAATGCACTAATCCTAATCAGTTGTTAGCTGTCAAGTCACTCCCAAAATAAAATAGATAAAGGCGACTCTTCAAGCGAGATGACAATCGTAGCCCGGTTCCATTTAAAGGTATCTCCGAGTGATTTTGCAATGCGCCGACAGCTTGGACCGCCTATCACTCACCCACTCTATGTGGCTACTATCTTCGCGGCAAGACAAGTGTCTGTGGTCTCTACCCTTCCAGTAGACAGGGCATATCATTTACCTCGTCTCTGTTTTTTTCCAAAACCCCAGCTGGCTGAGCAAAACAAATCTGGATAAATATCGTCGGTAAAATATTTAAACTATTTTGTTGACACAATAATTCCACACATAAATAGCTTCGATTTGTATTCACTTTCAATTGATGTGACTGGACTGGCGTCTGCCGATTGATTAGATAGACAGACGAGACTAGGCCAGTTAAAAAGACAATTCATTGACAGTTAACTCAAGGATAAAGTAATTTGAAAGGCAATTAAAAGGAAGTTATCTTGACATTAATACTAACTAAATGTCAAGTTAGCTCACAGAAAAACTTTTAATATGACTGTGTTATAGAAGAAAGCCAAATTCTTTAGACATTTAATAACAACGATATTAGAATATAATTTATTTACCAATAATAGGAAGCACTTTTGAAAAATTAGCAAATAAAAACAAAACCATTTCTTAGATAACAAATAATTGCTAACTCAAAAAGATATTGTTTAAGATTAAAAGATGTGCAAGGATATTAAGAAAATACAAAAAAGGTTCACTGTCAAATTATAGTATATAAAAAATACCATTATTTTTTAAAGATAATCATGGTATAGTCATGTCTATTTAGAGCAGTGCATTCCCTAGTTGTCAAATGGAAAAAACACCCTCTTCTGTCAGATATAGATAATCGGTGGGCTCGGAACATAAGTATACACGCACAAATTACCCGACGATTATTGATATTTGCCCAACTACTAGTTGTTGTTTGCTGTTTGGTTTCTTGTCTTGTCCATCCGCCTTGTTCGAACACTTGAAACTAAATCGTAATTTGAGCTGTTAGACAAAATATGACAGCGCTTCCAAAGATAACGAATAGCAGCGGTACGTATGGTAACAGTAACAGTAACATTACCCCCGAGCCAGATAAGTATCGGCCATATAAATAGACCGCAAAACAGGCGCAAACAATGGGCCGCAATGGTCAAACAAATATTGCGTTTAGAGTTTAGAGTTCTCGACCCGAACAACCTGCTGCATTTCGCACATCCAGCGGCACACTCTGTTTGCCCAGCATCCTTAGACTTCGATCTCGAACGCCGACGGCTTCACACCATTTAGCGAAATCTTTTTGAAGTAGGCCACTTCAAAGACCGCCCTCGGTTCTATTTGACAACCCGATTGTTAATCACTCTAGTTTTTCTTTAGTTTTCGCTTTTACTCAAGCGCAAGTGTTTTTCTTGTTAGTTTGAGGGACCTTCGGCTAATTTGTTTTTTAGGTAATCACATTTGGGACTGGCCTGCTGATAAAAGTGCCCATAAATGGTTGATTGGCTTTGTGTGGGTGGGGGGTTGATAAGTAGAATCGATTTTAATGGGTTTACTTAGGGATTACTCGGGTTTTAGCTTGGCCATTAAAGGTTTGCGAAAAGTTTATGAGGGAAGCTAGATTAAAAAATGTTTTTGGTTGGCCTGAGAGACAGGGTTCTTAAGAGAACTGTTTTCGCTAATTTGGAATGCACGTGGGTTTTGTAAAATGTATTATTACTTGCTGTTTTAAACTTATCTTTTATTATAGGGTTTTTGATATATTCGAAAAATTAAGTTTTTAATTTAAGTACCTTTTTATTTATAATATAATTTTTATACAAATAAGCTTTAAGTTCGGAAGTAAAATCTAAAAAAGTTTTAGAAGAAACCAATTTCCGATGAATATTTAAATTCATAAACTGTTTCGAAAACCTTCGCCTAACAATTTTGTTATCTATATCAAAACCAAAACTTGACTTTTACAAAAATATATTGTTCGTTAGAATTTAAATGAGTAGGACCCACACACATAAACTAATTAAATTAAATTATTTATGTGACACGCTGTCGACAGTTTTGGAAAGGGGAAGCTTTGGGGTTATTAAAGAATATGATAGATATGAAAGGCATTCATCGGACATATAAAATCCTATCCAATCCAAGGTAAATAACCAGGTGGATCTCAGCTTTCTTTCAATTAAAAACACTTGATGGTTTAACTCATTGTTCACATTTCTTCTCACTGATGTTTTAGTGTTAAAACACAATTGATTAACTAGTGAATAGATGGGCTCAAACTGATTCACTTGGCTTCCGTTTAAGTTAGTCCCATTGTAAACTAAATTCAGTGAAACTGATTCAGTTCAAGGAACTGCTATTCCCCGTAAGTCACAGCGCGAGATACCGATTTTGTTTATATACACGGCGTGGAACCAACCTGATATGACAAAACGATCGAACAGCATGATTCCGCTTTAGAACGTTACTTGTTACGATATCACAATAAACAGATCGCTTGTAAATACATATATATTTTCATAACACGCGACGCGACATTTTCCGTGGCCCGTGGGCTAACACTGCGTATGCTCGATGTGGCTTATGGTATAGTCCGATTCTTGCGATTTAAACGGCTGTCTGATGGGTTCAGTCGTCTCTATCTGCCGGTTGTCTTCGCAAGACTGCTGCCTGCCAGCAAAAGAAGCGGCGATAGCGCAAAAAAATATGAAGAACAAAATTGTGTGGCAGCGACGTCGACGTCGACGGCGACTGAGAATGAAAATGAGAATGTGAGAATGCAGCAGCGAGTGTGATTTTCCGATTCCGATTGCCAGCACGCTCAGCAACGAACTGAATTGTCTGGAGGCGATGAGGATTCTCGGATTGCCGGATTCTGTGATTCTGAATGGGAATTTTTCGGGCGGCTGGTTGGCTGCCCATTCGCCACGGTGGTTGTTTCCGCTTCTCTCTCCCATCCCGAAAAAAACAACAACAAAAAAAAAACAGCAAACCATACTCATCTCCCAAAAGATCGCCCCGATGTCCTGGCTATCTTCCCAAACCCAAAAAGTCTGGGGGATGAAACCGGAGAGCAAAATAACCGCACAGCGTTCTCTCGGCAGCCTCTCTGTATCTGCATCAGTGCGTTTATATGTATCTCCATCCTGCGCTCACTCTCTCTCCGGGATTCTGGGATTATTGTGCCTCTCTTTCGCGGCGAGACCACCTCTCTTTCTCGCCCCTTGAAATCTGTGTCAGTTCGCAGTCATTATTATTATCTGAAACTTGGTGATTCTGATTCGAATCCTTAGTGCCAGTGGCCACAGAAAGGATAACAGAGGGAGATGGCCAGCGAGACAGAGATAGAGACAGTGTGAGTGAGAGCGAGGGAGAGAGACAGCGATGGCCTTATTTACCCCTCGATTTTTCCTATCAGAATGCGGCTATGTATCTTTGAGATACACAGACAGCCAGCTTGAGTTGAGGGAGGAGTCAGGATAATAGGGCGGGCACATCTTCGCATTCATTATGCACTCGTCTATATATAGACTGTGTTTTATATATCTATCTATATATACCGAAATGGAGATATGGATGCAGAAGCTGAAACAGATACAGATGCAGCTGCAGATACAGAACCAGACACAGATACAGATGCAGTGTGCTGTGTGCTGCTCTCTTTTTCTGGCTGCTGGTAGTGTCTCTGTCTCTGTTTCGCTCTTGTGTTTGTTTATTTGCGGTTGGCCCAGACACCACCCACAGCCCCCCAACCGCTCCCTCACTCTAAGATTTTCCACACCCTCACCTTTATTTTCCACCCCCCCTGTGGCAGACAAAGTGGCAAGTTGCCTGGCTTGCGGTTCCCATATCCTTAGCATCCATTTCGATTTGGTTTTCGTGGGCGGGGAGGCTCGTATTTGGGTTCTGGCTTGCAGATTGTGGGTTTCGTTTGGTTTTACCTACACCCGCCACTGAATTTTCCCCCTAAATCAACCTGCGTCTGTTCCAAAGCGTGCGCAATAAGCACACATTAAGCTAATGGCTGTGTGTGGGTGTAGACTGCCTTTTCTGTATCTGTGTGTGTTTATGGCTTCCTGCCAACTGTGTACGTGTTTGTGTGTGTGTTGGCCGGACAGAGAAAACTCACGGCTATAATTGAAAGCGACGACGACTTTTAGCCTGCGGCTGAAAAGGCAAAGTGTGCCGGGCTGATTTCCTCGCCTTTCCCCACAGTTTTCCCCCTCGCTTTCCTTCTGGTTGCTCTTTTTCTCCGTTCAAAATAACAACAATCCTGGATTTTTTTCGGGGAGATGGGGGTGACAAGTACATGGGCTTTTTGGCCTTTTGTTTGCAACTTAATTTTGTATCTGTCGTTAAACTTTTTCGTGTTTCGGGGGGTAAAGGGAATTTTGTTGGACTTTGGCTTAGATTAAGAGGGCGGGGGCAAATTATGTTGATGAGGGGAATTAAATGACTGGCTATTAAGTAGAGCTTTTAAAGGGAACTTAGAAGACTAGCTAATAAAAACTATTTAATGGGGCTTTTGATATTCCTGAAGGGCTTTTTCTTGTCATTACCATATACGAGGTAATATGTAATCAATTTTATTCTCCCACTCTCAAATAACTACTATAATAATTACTATCACCATCTTTAACAAAATAATATGTCTCTTTACTTTGGGAAAGCGCTGAAAAAAATATATAGATTCCTTAATATCGATTCAGCTTTTATATATACCAAAACAATAATAGTTTTATAAAATAAAATTGACGGATAAATACAATGAAGCTAGGTGGATTTCCCGATAAAATTGTTGATCATTTCTGTGGCAGCTATATGATATAGTCGTCCGATTTTTATAAAACTGTAATTGCTAAAAGCTAGAATTTTATTTC